TGTTGATGTCTGTAGTCAAGAGAGAACAGCACAGTGTTTCTGCTTATAAGTATGTGTAAAACTTCAGCAGGGAGAGAAACCTATTTGAAATAGGTCTTAGGTTTGGCAAGATCCTTTAGAGTTCTACTTTGTAATTGAATTGTGTGCTTCTGGTAATTGTTAAGCTTGGAGGCACACTCTATGAAATGAAATGATCTCATAAATTTGAGAAGGTAAGGTATAGGTGTAGGTTGGTATCCACTTAAAAAAAAAAAAAGAAACTTGGAAAACAGCCAGCCTGATATTTTCCTTAGATGTAAGTGGTTACTCACTTCATTTGATTAGGCAAATGAGAAGGGCTGTAAATTTGACTAAATCTATTATTTAGTGTGGCATATTGAAAAGAGTAGTGAGAGACCAAATGATTCAGTTAAATGCCTCAACTAGTTCTATAAACCAAAGTGATCAAAGAAAGACTATAAGGACTCATACATAAATAGTATATTTGTAATAGCTCTTTTGGTAGTGATAAAGAACTGGATACTAAAGGGATATGATTGACTGGGGAATGCCTATAGTATATGAATATAATGCAATGGTATTGACAGTAAGGATAGGTTCATAGAAACCTTGGAAGACTCGTGTGAACTGATGCAAGTCAAGTGAGCAGAACCAGGAGAGCTACTGCTGTAATAAGAATCACTCTCCTTATGGAAGTGAATGTTAAAAACTAAAAATAAATTAATTAAAAAAAAACCACTCTCTAAGACTATAAGTTATGGGCAAGTTGCCAGTCATTAAGAGCTCATTAAAATAAAAAGTAAAACAAATAATGAAATTGAAGAATAATCATTTATACAAACTTTCATTAAAATATAAAAAGTAGCTAGAGATGGTAGAAACAATATTAAATTTGGAGACAATATTCTGCCTTGCAACTTGGCTCTTCTATTTGGCATCCCATTATCTCCCTGAGCCTCAGTTTCCTCATCTATAAAATGAGGAATTGGGCTGCAATTCAAGGGATTCTTAACCTGAAGTCCATAAACTTTAAAGAACTATAATAACTGTATTTCAATATAATTGGTTTCCTTTGCAATTCCATTTATATTATCTATTTAAAACACATTTCAAGATGGGATCCATAGGCTTCACTAGACTGCCAAAGGGGTCAGTGACACATCAAAAAGTCCTAAGAACCCCTGGATTAGATGATCTTGAGGTACTCCTCCAGACCTAAATCCTATGACTCTAGTTTAGGGGAGTCCTATTTTTGGTGAAAATGGCTATCATTAACATTCTAGGGCTTACCTTACCTCAAGGGGTATTAGGACAAATATCCTAGTCTTAGCTTTCAATGATGCCCGAGAAATGGCCTTCTCTCCTGACTTTTCTCCTTTATTCCCCAACTTGCCTTGAGGCATCTCATTCCAAAATGCGGTGCCACAGAAGTGACAGCAGTAGCAGCATCATAGAGGAGTTTCCTTTCTTACCCTGCCTATGTTCTAAGACTTCTTCCTGTAAAAGTATTTTATTGTTTTCCCCCTCGCCTCCTCCACTGGTGTCTATTGTCATTCTTCTACCATACCTCTAGGATTGAGTTTTCATTGCCATAACACACAATGGTGATGGAAGAACTGTTATGAGAGAGACCTTCTTTCAGTCTTCCTTTTCCTATCTTCTTTCCTTAATTCATTATCAAGTATTGATTGCTTAATTACTGCAGGCCCAATTGTGCCAACGCTTTGCCTGGTCAGTAATGCTACTTCTAACTCTTCCCTGACCTATGCATGTGGAATAAGTGGATAGAGTGCTGGAAAGAATTGGGATAGAGTGAGGAAGAAGTAGATAGAGTCAGGAAGACCTGAGTTCAAATCTAACCTTAGACACTTACTAGCTGTGTAACTCTGGGCAAGTCATTTAACCCTGTTTACCTCAGTTTCCTCATCTATTAAATGAGCTAAAGAAGGAAATGACAAACAACTCCAGTATCTTTGATATGGTCCATGGGGTCACAAAGAGTCAGACGTGATTGAACCACTGAACAACAAGCACCTTAGGAACAGGGGTGAGGTTATGGGAGAACAGAAAAGCCTCCTCCTAGCTTCCCACCCTCAATTTAACAAGTCTTATTTTAATTCATTTGTGTTCCACTCTCATAGGCCACTTTTGATGTGAATTTTTTTAAAAAAGAAGAAAGTTCATTAAAAAACAAAACACTAGAAAATTAGAAATACATTGCAAATGTATTTTTGCTATTTGTACAGTTTGTAATGAGGTAATAGAAGCACTAAACCTTTCACTAGTTTCAAATTATTCTTGTCAAATGCCCAGTTTATTGTAAGCATCCTCCTAAGGAAGATTTATGAAATTGAACTACACGGACCTTTGTTGATGTTTTCAACATACTCAATTATTTCCCTTTGCTGCTTGCCATCGTATATGAAGCCAGGTATGTATCTTTTGTGATAATTTACTGTTAATGGTAATTACTGAAAAACTAACACCTTGTATAGCAGGAAACTTTCATTCCTAAGAAATTTTAATTATGTCTCTCAGATGTGTGCTTTTAATTAACTGGTGACATTTTCTTTGTTCAATTATTATAGTTCTATACTACTGTCATAAACTTATAAATTTTAATTAAAGCTGCCCCAAACTCTAGTTATATAGTGTCCACATAGGAATTTGCCAAAAGGCTTAACTGTAAGTAAACCAACAATGAATAAATCCATGAATTGCCACTGGGATTTGTTTAACAAATTAACATTTGTGTGCAGATAATGAGGTTCTACAACCTATAATACAGAACAGTGCTTTTATGAAATCACAATTTAAAAAGTAAAAAATGCTTTCCAAATGACTTAATTGCCTATCACATTATTAATTATTAGACAGTAGAAGAGCATAAAATACACATGCATCAACCTACCCCTAGTTGGTTTCCCTATATGCACTCATTTCTTTTATAATTTTCATGTGCCAAGGGATTTTAAGTACATTTCCAGAATATGTTTATTCAAATCTGTAACTCAAAAGTTCTGAAACCCAGTTAAAATTTAACATGGAAAATTGCTATAGGAATTAGGTAAGTTCTTTAGAGATTAGAATTAGAGAAAGCAATTTAGATGTTGCAGTATACCATTCTCATATACCATTGCTCATAACAGATTCACATAACTGATAGCTGAATCTCAAGCCATAGATTTAGAGACTGATTTCTCTCAATAAGTAAATTTATTCTGGGTCACAGTTCCATGGTTAAACTAATGGGCATCATTTCTGTTTGAGCATCAAGGACTGAGGGTTGGACTGGATGGCCTCTGAGGTCCTTTCCAGTTTTAACTCTTATTTCATGATTGGATTAGTGGTGTAATGGGGGAAAAGGTGGACTAGATTTGAAGTAAGGAGACCTGGGCCTCAGTTTCCTCAGCTGTAAAATGAAGGCTTTTGACTCAATGAGCTCTAAGAGTTGTTCTAGCTCTAATTCTAGATTGCCAAGCAGTTAATATGATTTTAAAATTTGGAAAGCTAAGAAGGCCAAATTATTCCTCAAATTCTAGTGATTTAGGTGGTGGTAAAAAGAAAACTGAGTGGCCATCTAGAGATTCTCTTATCAGTCAACTTCTATGAATAACTTGTAAATATGATCATGGTCTAAGTAAAATTACCTCCTTAGGAGAAATAGTTAAGCTCCTTAAAATAAAAATGTGGGTCCACTTCACTCTGCCTACAATACTTTGTCATAGTTTGTTAATTGATGTAAAATAAAGGATGACTGCAATCCAATTCAAGTAACAGATGTTTCTAACAGCATCATGAAACAAATGCAAACATATGCAGTCCGTACTTCACCTAAAACTTTCTCTGTGCTGAATACAAACATTTGCAATGGCTTTTTTTTTCCATTTTAGTGGTTCATTCAAACTCTAAACCTTCTTTTACTGAAATATTAACCTTTATCAATTAATTATAGGTCAACTAACATTATAGAAGAAATACACATTAAAATGTACTATTTGAAGCTTGTAGATTTTTTATGAAATATATATACCTAGTTGACTTTTTTGCTGAATTATGCATTATAAGAAACAGAAGAAACTTTTATTTTTTAAGTATGGGCCTGTGATTGCATTGGGATTTCCCAGTGAGGAGCTTCTTTCTACCAATACAGATTGGCCCTTTCTCTGCAAGCTATAATCTTAGAAGGCTGCATACATATTATGTATGTTAGGTAACTTGTCCTGGATTACAGGGTCAGTATTTGTTAAAGGCAAGTGTTGGATATAAGTTTTCCTGCCTTCGATGCCAGTTTTATGCTATGCTGTTATTGCCTCTCTTATGAGCAAAAAAAATTATAATTTACCATTCAATTATTTTTCCTTAGGCAATGTTTTTGGGAAACATGTATGGTATCTAAAGTTTATCTGTCTAATACAGACATATGTTCCAGATAACTTGGACATTAATTTCCTGGCTCCCAAATGTGTAATTTTACATAGTATGTTAAACAGTAATTTCTTCACAATTCTTTTTTTTTCATATTTTTTTTTTGCTAGGTAATGGGGTTAAGTGACTTGCCCAGGGTCACACAGTTAGTAAGTGGCAATTGTTTGGTCTGAGGCTGGATTTAACTAAGGTCCTCCTGAATCCAGGCCAGTGCTCTATCCACTGCACCACCTAGCAGCCCCCCACTGCACCACCTAGCAGCCCCCACAATTCTGTATTAACATAAATATTATAATAGATTTCCTGATAAATTCTCAAGCTATTAACAGAATATAATTAAGTTATAATCATGATCAATTTTTAGTTTAATTTCATAATTATGTGATTTAAATTTCAATAGACTGAAGTAGCAACCCAAGGCAATAAATTAAATTAATTTCAGTTGTCCAAATTAGAGATTATGTTTGGAACAATTTGTTCTCATAGCAGGGTCAAGAATTACAATCCACTTCAAATATATAACATTTTCTGTAGGTTTTCATTAATAGGAAAAAGGTGAAGATAATACTTACCAAGAGCAGATGATATGCAAGTTCCTCCATTCTGACAGTAGTTGGTACAATGGTTGATTTCACATCTTTCTCCAGAATAACTGGGCCAACAATGACATCTTAGATCTCCCTTCTCATTTATAATGCATTTTCCTCCATTTTCACAAGTCAATTTACATGAATCATCTATTTAAAAAACATGCATACAAAATATATGATTCATGGAATGAGTGAAAACATCAGGTAATTTAAATATATCACAAATAGGACTTTAATTTTGTTTTGATTAATAATACTAAATTATTTGGCCACAAGACAAAAATAAAATGAAAGTTTTGTTTTTTTCTTTTTTCTTTTTTTTTAATCAGAAAACTAAGTATTGTGGGTATTCAGGTAGACTGCATTGATATTCAACCTAGAGAAGAGAAGACACAGAGAAGACAGGATAGTTGTCTTTAAATAATTGAAAGGCTGTCATGTGGAAGAAGGAATGCATTTGTTTTATGACTTTAGAACTAGAACCACAGGTTGAGAAATTCTAGGCATAACCTTTTCAGTTCAATATATTAAAAAAGTGACCATTAGAGAAAAAAATATAATCAATTGAATTATGAGATTATAAGTTCCCTGTCTTAAAAAGTACTCTAAGAAAGGCTTGAAGGACTACTTGTAAGGGATTTTGTGAATGGTTGCATGCTTTGGACAGGAATTTGGACTAAATGACTACTGAAGGCCCTTCCAAACCTAAGAACCTATGATAATAATAATAATAATAATAATAATAATAATAATAATAATAATAATAATGAGGAGTCATATATACCAAAGCAGTCCCTTGATTTTTTCTGCTCTCAGTTGCTTTATCTTGCAGCTCTATCATTTATTAAAATGTTAAGCAAAGAATATATGATGATTTTTTAAGATAAAATGTTTTCTAACCTTGATAAATTATTCAAGAATAGGATAGACTATCTCATCAACAGCTAGCAACCTTAATAACGGCAGACAAAAATCAATAGAAAATACTGTAATGACATATGACTATTTCAAGTATATTCAATGACTAATTTAATGAATAAGAAGACATTTAAGGATTTTCTTTGAGACTAATTGCTTGTCATTAAGAGCCATCTATTATAAGAAAAGTTAATAGACCTATATAACAGGATAACACTTACAGAAAGCAATACTTCCAGTTGGCAAATCAGAACCCTAGACATGAAGTCAGGAGATCCTAGTGCAAATCCCACCTCGTGGACTAATTAGCTCTGTTAACATGAATAAGGCAATTAACTTTTCTGAACTTCTGTTTTCTCATTTGGAAAGCAGAGATAAGCATAGTTCCATTCTCTGCTTTACAGAGTTGTTAATAGGATGCTAGGATCATAGGGCTAGAATTGAAATGGACCTCCAAAGTCAACTAGTTCAATCCCCTCAATTGTACAGAAAGAAAATTAAAGTGACTTGTCCAATGTCAAACAGGCAGCTGGGAGGCATGTGCCTTAGAAACTTTACTGTAGAAACATATATTATTATATCTGTTTTTGTTGTTGTTGTTCAGTCATTTCAGTCATGTCTGACTCTGTGACCCCATTTGGGGTTTTGTTGGCAAAGATACTGGAGTGGTATGCCATTTCCTTCTCCAGCTCATTTTACAGATTAGGAACTGAGGGAGACAAGGTTAAGTGAATTGCCTGGGGTTATACAGCTAGTAAGAATCTGAACTGGATTTGAACTCAGGTCTTTCTGATTCCAGGCCCAGTGCTCTACCTACTGCACCACCTAGCTGCTCTATTGTTATATCTGTAATTTAAAACAAAACAAAACAAAAAAAACCCTAAGACTATTTTAAATTGCTTCAACATCCATATTAACAATATAGTTTCAGGGAATGCTTTTCCCTGTAACTGCTTTGAGTCAGAATCAAATAGCCAATCAATAAGCATTTATTAAGAATGAACTGTATGCTAGGCACATAGAGCTGGCTTTGAGTCCTGTGTGATCTTGGGCAAGTTCCCTGAACTTTCTTAGATTAAATTTTATTATATGTAAAGGGAGGACAATAATATCTACTCTAGTACTAGTATAAATACCATTACATAGCTCTTACATAGAGCACTTTAGATGAATAACCTTATTTGAACTCCATCAACCCATGTGAGATAGATGGTACAGATATTATCACCATTTTTACAAATGAGGAAAGTGAGATTCAATGACTTATCCACAGTTAGTATATACCAGAAGTGTGATTTAAATCCAGGGCTTCCTGACCTCACATCCAATGCTCTAACCACAATGTCATGCATCTTACAACATAGGACATGTTATGATGATAGAAAGAGATAATGGATGCTAAAACTCTATCAAGTGTAGACTATCTTTTGTACATGTCCCCTTCTCTCCTCTGACTGCCTCTACCTTGGTTCAGGCCCTTATCATCTCACACCTGGACTACTGCAATAGCCTGCTGGGTAATCTCCCTGCTTTAAGTCTCCTTCCACTCCAGTCCATCTTCAGTTCAACTATCAGTTTTCTAAAGCATGGATCTAACCATGTCATCCCCCTAACCAATCAACTTCAGTGGTTCCCTGTTACCTCTAGGATTAAATATAAAAGCCTCTGGCTTTCAAAGATCTTCATAACCTGCACTCATTTGTCATGATAATGAACCCTAAGGTCTGAAATAGCTCTAGAATGAAATTTATTCGGTCATTTGGCAGAAGACAGAGCTAGAAGAAGATGTAGCTTCTTGTCCATTCTCTGTGAGGTAGGTAGTTCAGACAAGGGTGTAAGGACATTTGCCTAATTGGTCTCAGGTAGGCAGAATTTAGTCTGGAGAGAAGGGCAGTTTGAGCTGTGTATCAACAGGTAAATCAATCTAATTTGGGAACCCAAAACATAAGCTTTGGGTGGAACCCAAAACATAAGCTTTGGGTGGAACTCAAAACAGGAGCTTTGGGTGGATCCAAAACCATACCTAAGTAGATTCAAAACAAGCACTGAGTGGGATCTAAATATTCCTTACAGCCATCTCAAAAGCTTTTTTAAGGTTAGCCTGACCTCCACAGTAAGCTTTTGAGTCAATTTTCTAGCCACATAAAGCAGGGTTCAAGCAATATTAATAAATGATAAATAATAAAGTATTTTCCCCATAGTCTCTTTCTACCTTCACAGGCTTCCAGACTTATTCCCCTTAACATACTCCATGATTCAATGGCATTGATCTCCTTGCTGTTTCTCCCACAAGACACTGCATCTCCTGACACCAGGCATATTCTCTGGCTGTACCCCATTCCTGGAGTGCTCTCCCTCCTCATCTTCACTGCCTGTGTTAACTTCAAGTCCCAGCTAAAATTCTTCCTTTCACAGGAAGCCTTTCTTGATCCCCCTTACATCTAGTGACTTTCCTGCTAATTATTTCCAATTTATCCTATATTTAACCTGTCTGTACATAGTCATTTATATGTTGTCTCCTTTATTAGATTGTGATTGTCCTGAGAGCCAGAACTGTCTGTTGCTTCCCCCCCCCATATACTATGCACTTAGCACAGTGGATGGCACATTGTAATTGTTGTTGTTGTTATTGTTGTTCAGTTGTGTCCCATTATGACCCTGCAGACAGCATCACATCAATACTGCCTATGGGATTATTTTGGCAAAGATACAAGAATGGTTCACCATTTTTTTCTTTAGTGGATTAAGGCAAACAGGGGTCAAGTTATTTGCCCAGGGTCACATAGCTAGTAAGTGTCTGAGACTAGATTTCAACTCAAGTCTTCCTGACTCTAGGTCTAGCACTCTATCCACTGAGCCACATAGCTGCCTCTATATTGGCACATATGAGATGCTTGATAAATGCTTGTTACCTGACTGACTCAACACAAGCAAAGTATTAATGTTAGTAATAATTCAAACTATTCAGGAATATATTGGCAGAAAACTGGAAATCCTAGCCATTCTGATTATGCCATTGAGTAGAGTCATAATTTTGAGCAATTTTCATTTAGTTTAACTCAAGAAAATTAGTTGGACCTATTCTCCAAACTGTGCTGCTGCCAGGCTTGTAGCCATGAACTATAAGGCTTTCTCTAAAGGAAGTTGATATCGTCTGATGGACAACAAAGAAAGCATTTGGTAGAAAATAAGTAGTTTATATCTTCTGCTAAATTGAGTTCTATACATATGTATATAATTCAATGTCCTTGAATAATCAGTTTTGATTCTTCTTCACTATATATATATATATATATATATATATATACACATACATATATATATACATATACACACACATACACACACACACACACATATATATATGCATGAGAGAAGCATTTTAAATAAAGGTACATATTAATGATTTTTGCTGAATTGAATTATTTAATTAATTGATGCTATTCAACTCACAGAAAGGCCATTTCTATCATCATAATGGAAGATGATTTTGAGAATTGGGAACAACTGTCTATCAGATCATCCTGCTATACAGGTATACTATGGTAACTGGTAAGACCAGAGATCATATTCAGTATACTTAGAATTGTTCTTTTGTTGGTTTTATAGACTGAGATTCTTTACAAATATCTGCTCATATCATTCATTACCAAAGAGGGATGTCAAATGTCTTGTTATGTAGATGTGATAAGGTTTTTTTTGTCTTTTTTCATAATGAGCAAATTTGTGACAAGTATTTTGTCTCTTTACCTGACCCCCACCATCTAACTCACAAGGAGAATGAAACCAACTGAGAACCATATTCTGCTAGGTAATTCACAAAGATGGAGAAATCCACTGAAGCAGTAATGTGTTAATATTGTAAGAGTTAATGTTCATCACATATTTCTAACTCACCAGTAAGAAATTATCTAATATGCAATAACTACTTAGGGCTGTTTAAAAGGGAAACATTTTAGAACTAGAGTATTATTATCCATGTTGGTATTATAATTAAGGAAGCATTCATATTTAGCTACAGTTTAAGTGAAATTTCTGCATGTTGTTACATATGCTTTTCTATGATATGTAACATTAAGCAATGGAAAATTTAAAAATATAGCACTGTCTGATGAAACAAAAGTGGTATTATATTCATCTACAAACTGCAGTAATACTCCTATGATGAAAAAACAAGGCTGCTTTTGTCAATAACCAAATTACCCCCAAAGATCAGCTCTAGCAATTATAATCAACTCTAGGAGAGAACAGATGAACATTTTTCTAAGGATGAGTAAGATTTGAAATTCAAATTTTTTTCCATGAGGATTAGTAATACTCAATGGGCTAATCAGTTAACAATAGCAACTAGAGAAAGGTAGGTGATTATAATGAGCTGTAAAATGTGGCTATATAAAATTTTAATGATAGAAAAATTAATTTATATTGATCTGTGCCATCAATAATTCTAAAATTCACATACTTTGATTTTAAATTCAAGATGTCCAAGTTCTGTCTCTTATAAAAATCACATGGGTAGAAGACCATTGAAGTTTGTTAAATTTAGTATTTTCTTTAATGGCAAGCACGAGCTTTGAGGGTTCTGAGATAGGAGTGTTTTGGCCACTCTCTCAATTAGGAAAGTTGCTTTAAATCACTCATTCTATTAATCTGACATTTGGACATTCTAACTCCTCAGCCTCAACCGTGAGAACTTGAAAACTGAGTGTGTGTGTGTGTGTGTGTGTGTGTGTGTGTGTGTGTGCATGTGTGTGTGTAGGGAGGGAGATAAATGTTTCTTCTTTTTGCCTATTTCATAGTGACAGAAAGAGCTTACTTTGGTGGAGGTAATAGTGGATGGTGTGCTGGGCCTGGAGTCAAAAAGATTCTTCTTCTTGAGTTCAAATCTGGCCTCAGATACTTACTATCTATGTGACCTTGGGCAAGTCCCTTAATCCTGTTTGCCTCAGTTTCCTCATTTGTAAAATGAGCTGGAGAAGGAAATGACAAACCATGACAGTGTCTTTGCTAAGAAGACCTGAAGTGGGATCATGAAAAGTCAGACATAACTGAAATGACTGAACAACAAATAGAATAAATATGCCTAACATTAAGAATCATTATTATTATCAAGAGCAATCATTTATTAAATACCTCTAGCTATGTTTGATAAAATCTACATGCAAATATAATTTTGGTAAGCCACAATCACATTTTCAATGCTCCACAGAAACTTGCTATTGAATACAGCTACAGTGAATGCTTTCAAGAAGTAAAAAAAAAATCCTTTCACAATGTAACTAATGATGATTTACATTAATATTTTCCTAAATTTGGTCTTTCTTAAAGTGTCTAGAATTTGAAGTGGCATGAAGCAATGATGGTCATTTATACTGATATTCCTTTTTCCACAGGATACTAAACTTATTGCTTGATTAAAGGAAAATTTTGGTATCCCTTGGGGAGGGGCACTGCCAGGCCTTCTCTTAATGTGGAAGTATAACTACATGTACCACTTAATTAGAGGTCTTGGGAATCCCTGAATAACTCATTGAGGTCTCTTCTAACATTGATGTCTTGTGATCTCCAAGAACTGGTCATCCAGCTTCTGTTTGAAGACACCCAATGAGAAGGCAATCACTACTTTCCAAGGTATACCATTTATCTTTTAGAGAGCTAAAACTGTTAGGCAATTTCCCTTAGATTAAACCTAAAACTATCCACTTTACCTATTACTCTTAGTTCTACCCTCAGGTCAAGCAGACCAAATATAATCCTTCTTTCATATTACAGCCCATAAAATCTTGAAATCCTCTCATGCTGTTCCATCAAGTCTCTCTTCCCTGGAGTAAACATATCTGGTTCCTTCAACTAAACTTGCACTAGCAGGTTCTATAGTTCTTTCATCATCCTTTTTGCCATTTTCTGGACACATTTCCATGTGATAATGTCTTTCTTAAAACATAGTCCCCAGACCTGAACACTGTTTGGGTCTAAGAAGAGTGCTAGCCTTGTTGGCTACCAAGTTATCCTGTTGAATCATATAGAATCTATACAATTCACTAAAATTCCAAGAAAGGTTTTATGGGAACATTTCTCAAGCCATGCCTTCATAATCTTATATTTTTGAAGTCTGTTTTTTTTTTCTTTTTTGAACTTCAGGATAAGACTTTAATTTATGTATAGAACATTTAATCTTCTTTAATTCTGACCACTGGGATGGCCTCTTTAGATTTTCTTGGATTTAGACTCAGTCATCTAACGTGTAAGTTATGCCTCATCCCAAGCTTTGTGTAATAAGTAAATTTATCAAATATTCCATCTGTGTACTGGAGATCTCGTTCAAAGCTGACATCTTCCCATTAATGTCTACTCATTGTCCCTAGTCATTCAAATGGTTCAAAATCTACCACATGTAGTACTATGTAGACCATTTATTTCCCTTATTTTTTTTTCTCACAAGAATGAACAATTTTGTTAAAACAATGTTTTTGCTTCAGATCTGTATGCTCTTAGGAATTTTCTTTTGTTGAGGGGAAATGACTAAGATCTTAGAACTGTGCCATTCAAACACTTGTTGTCTGTAAAGCATCCTCCATCATTATTCCCCCAATACCAGAATCATTCTATGAATAGTGTATTAGGATCCAGAATATACAGCATCTCTCACTTTCTTGCTATGCAGGTCATAACTTTTACACTATTTGAATTATTTTCTATTCTTACTCACCCCATTACTCTCTGCATCACTTTAATTACTTTGACCACAGATTAAACTCTTGGTACACATTCGTTCTCAGGGCAACCCATCTTACACTCCCAAGAAACTGTCAACAAACATTTAAGAGATCATCTCTTGTCACCAATCAAAACACATTATGGTCAGTGTTGAGAACATCTTGACACTCTTTTTGGCCCAAAAAGAAATTAACATTTACAAGCAACTATAATTTCCCTTCCCCCTTTGCCTTTCAGGTAAACCTTCCAGATTTGTTCTTTGACTTTACCTTCCTTACAATCTAAAAATGAGTTTCATGCAAGAGTCTACTAAACCTATTTTTTTGTTCGAGTTTTTGACACTAATTATTATAGTACAATTGTACTCATATTAGATGCACATAAATGCCAGTTAAATAAATATGAAATGAGTTGACAGAAAATAGAAACACTGAAAAAGAAAAATTAATGTTATTAAACATCGGCACTTGAGAGCCACTCAATAACAAGAATTCTCAACTGATATCTGGTTTGATGGCATTTTCCTTTATTTTATTAACTGATTAATTTATCTTAAAATGTGTTACTTTCCCAAAGACTACAATATACCTACCTAATAGGCTCTCATCATTGCAGGTTCCATTAATCAAGGATTTCCCTTCTGGGCACACACAGGTAGCCCCAGAAGGATTAAGTAAACAGAGGAATTCACACGTTAAATCCAAACATGGATTGGGTACTGAATGAAAACAAAATAAAAAAAATATGCATGAATATAATTACTTTAGGTTATGATAATATTTCACTGAAGTTTAAATACAGCCACTTTAAATCTTTTTTTCATATATTTCAAAAATTATACTGTCCTTCATATTGCAAGAGAAAGAACTAACCCAACATCAGTGTAAGATGTACTAGCTGCTTTTTGCCAAAGCAGGTATGGGTTTTTCCTGAGTTACCCACACTCATTTGCTGTTCTTTGTGACTTACTTTGTAAGTATCTGTAAGGCAGTTGGCTAGTGGAGCAAAGCTAACAAGCCAAATAATTTCTATTCAGCTGAAGCTTTAACCAAATAAAATTACTTGTCACAAGTATTTGCATAGTTAAAAATCCAAGAATTTTCTTCACTTACGAATTAGTGTATCAAAAAGTATTTATTAGTTGAACAGTATTTAACAATTTTTTTCTTTCCATATGGACATATATTTTTTAATCTGATACTTATCCAGTTGCCTTCTTCTGTATGTATTGCCAAATAGGTACTTGGCATGCATCTTAGATATAGGGACTTCTGCTCGGGCAAAACTGGACTAGATAATTCTGAGGGACCCCTTAGCACTGAGATTTTTTGTAATTCTATGATCCTACACTGAATGTATCTTACCATTCATTAGATTGAGAAGGAAAAAGAGCCTGGGAGGATTTCTAAGTGAATGATGTTCTTCCTCTTAGAAACACTATTCAAGCATTAAGCCCCATAGATGTTTGGGGAAGACAATTTATATCTGAGGGCATAATCTTTTCTATCAGAACACAGATCATGATCAATTGGCAAGAAGTGGCATTATTAAAAATCACTGACTACCTCATCTCCTGCTGGTTGAGAAGCCGCAAAGTTTCTAATCTTCACAAAAACTCTGTTTCAGTTAATAATGTGTGTGTGTGTGTGTGTGTGTTTGTGTGTTGTGTGTGTTTTATTTATTTAATGATTGACTGATTGATTAGGAAATTCCTAATGAGGAAGCTTTTTACCATTGCAGACTAGCAACTACTCTTCAACTTCCAGTTTTAGAGAGTTGCCCTGGTAATAACTTATTTTACTGAAATTAATTTCCTTTGCTTAGTCAATAGACACTGAATGAATGAATGAATGCATGAATGAAAAAACACTTACTAAATAAACACTATATGTTAAGCACCATATTAAGTGCTAGGGATATAAATAAAAGCTGTCATTTACATTTGCTAAAATGTTTTGGGACTATTTTATAAGGCTGTATCCAGCATACCAAAAAGATGTCATTTGAATTCATTTAAGATTAAAATTGAAGTCCAAGACATGTGAGGGTGATAATGAACACCTAGCTGTTTTAAATGAACTTGAATGTCCAGAGACTAAAGTCTTAATCTCTTGGGCATTACTGAGTATAAATATAGAGAAAAAGAAACGTTTATAGATGTAATCATGCAATGTCAATCATTTTTGAGGAATTATTGAAAATGGGAGAAGTACTGGAAGACACTTGGATGAATCCTGGATAACCATTGCCACAACTTGCAAAAGGAGAAAAGTGAATCCTAAAAACTGTAGATCAATTTGCTAATCCCCAGCAAAATTCTAGAACACATTATTAAATCTGTTTTGAAAACATCAATAACTATTGACCCAAAATGTATGCTTTCTCCTCTTTAGGAAATATTTGTAAGGTTGATCTATGTATGTATCAATGGTATCCTTGATGAAATGTTAAGAAGAGAACAGGCAGGTCTTCATGAATGATTTTCTATAGCAGACCCACAGATTTATAATCTTGAAATTGCCTCAAATGTACATAAAATACACAATTTAGCTGTGCTTATTGAATATGTATTATAAATAACCATTTGTTTCAGTAGAGTAAAACTCTCTTCCAACAAGGAGACTTTCTTGTCTATATTAGGAGCATACAAACTCTTTTGATAAAGGCAGCCAAAAGATTGTGAATATTAATTCAATTCGACAACAACAAAAAACAAACATTTATTGAAGACCACAATGTTCTACGTGCAAGGGATTTGAAGACAGATAATGGAAGCTTCAAGGAACTTCTATTCTACTGGGGTCAGTGATAGATACAGTATTGGCCCAGATAAGTTAAAAGGAGATAATTTGAATTGGAGGTAAGTCTAATGATTGATCGAATCATGAAAGGCTTTGGGTCAGAGGTTGTATCTGAACTGGGGAAGGAAGCTAGGGTTTCCAAGAGTGGGAAATGAAAGGAAAACACAGAAATAGGACCTTGGATGATGAATTTAAGAAAAAGCTGGGAAACCATTTTGACTGGAATGCAGAGTTCATGAAAGTGAATAATACTGTCTGGAAAAATTGGTTGAATTGTGATCATAGAGGGGCTTAAGGCCCAGAGTTAAAAGTTTCTAATTTATCAGAAAGGCAATAAAAATCCATGACATTTTTGAGCTGGGAAGTGACATGGCCGATCCTAGGCTTTAAGAAGATTATTTTGACAGCCATATGGAGACTAGACTAGAAAGGGAAGATACTGGAAGCAGGGAGATAATTGAGACCAGATAATTAGATGGAGCCAGAACAGTTGAAAGAGAGCAGGCTATATTGCATGTGGAAAACTGCAGAACTATGTTTAAACGTCCTAAGCCATTATAACAGTTTGGAGTGAGATGAGGTAAGATTGGCTTCAAGTGAAGAGAAATGTTAGAAACAATAGATACTATGAAAGTTGAATGAATAAGCTTAATGGGTAATTATTTTTGGAGGAGAAGAAAGTGTTTAAGATGACTAAAATTGGGATGCAGTATGGAGGCAGTATGTGGAGTTAAGTAGTTTGGTCTAGAACTGAATAAAAGGAAGAAAGTAGTCTCATCTGCAGGTAGGTGACATAGATACTTGACCTGGAGTCAAGAAGAAACCTACTAGTTGTGTGACCCTGGGCAAGTCATTTAATCTCTGTCTTCCTCAGTTTTCTCAACTGTGAAATGAGGACAACAGTAGCACCTACCTTCTCTGGTTGTTGTGAGTATAAGATGAGATGATATTTTTAAAGTGCTTTGCACTAATATTTTAGAAAAGAAAGTGGTAACTAGAAACACTATAGATTTATAATGAACAAGACATGTAAATGTAAATTCATTCTTTTGGGTAAGGTGACCATAAACTGAATTATTTTGGACAGGCCAGAATAATAGAGAGTTAGAGTACATCTCTATTGCAATAAGGGTTTTGACAAAGGCCTTCATGATTTGGTCACGTAATTTCATGATGTGTTTTAGACAAGACAGAACACCATTGGCTGAATAATAGCATAGTTTTGGGTTTTTTAGACTGTTGAACATCATTGAGTCATGTCATTCTGGTGCAAGGTCCATAGTACCATGTCAATGGTGTCTAGACTCATTATCTTGTTCATACCTTTTACTACTTGGATGAAGACAGAAAGGGTAATCTCATCAAATTTGTAGATGGTATAGAGTAAGAGGAACAGTTCCTATTTTGGGTGAGATAATCATAATTTTAAAAGATTTCAATAGGCTGGAACAATGGACCAAAAGTAACAAGCCAGGTAAAAAAGATAAAGATAAAATCCTATAAGGTGACAGATACCATCTAAGACTCCAAAAATCTCTAAAATTTATAAAGTTGAAAAATCATTTGTAAAACATAGGATAGAGGAAAATCTGGTTTGACTGTAGTTCATGTGAAAAAGGACTGATCCTTTCAATTACTTTTTTTTTGCTTAGGCACAAGCAGTATGATACATTTGCCTTAAAAAGGGAGTCAAACTGCATTCATACAAGCATAATTTCTATAACAAGGGAGAAAAAATAACCCTCCTATACTTATATTCTTTAGGTCTGATGCCACATTTTAAGAGGGACAATGACAAAGTAGAATTTACAGACCAGGGAAACCATTATTGTGAGAAATCTGAAAATCATGCCATATAAAGAAAGATAGAAGGAATTGGGGAAAATTAACATAGAGAAATCAAGACTACTATGAGGCATGATAGAAATCTTCAAATACCCTCTGGACCATCATCTGGGAGAAGCAGACTTATTTTGGGCAGCACCAGAGAACTACACTCAGACTTGTGAATATAAGTTACAGAGAGACAGATTTTGGTTGTATATAAGAAAAAAATGATTTTTTTTTTTTGGCTAAGCAATGGGGTTACATGACTTGCCAGTGTCACATAACTAGTGAGTGTTATGTATCTTGAGGCAAGATTTGAACTCAGGTCCTCCTGAATCCAGGATGGGTGTTCTATCCACTATGCCACCGAGCTGCCCCAAAAAACTTTTTAAAGGAAGAAAGCTAATTCTAGCTTAGTTTGTGTATGAGAAACATAGCATACAGAAATAAGAAATTGATGATCCTGCTTCATCCTGTGCTAGTAGGACAATATCTGGAGTACTGTGTTTGGTTCTGACCACTGTATTTTAGGAAGGACATTGTTAAACAATGAGTTGAGAAACCAGGGTGGTGCAGGCTTTGAATGAATTCCATTCTTGGAAGTTGAAAGATCTGAGAATTTGTAGTTGAAAAGATCTAGGAATTTTCAGCCTAGAGAGGAGAAGACTTGGAATGGGGAAACATGATGACTATCTTCATATATTTTAAAATCTGCCATGTGGAAGAGGCATTAAGTTTCTTCTTGGATCCAGAGGAATCCAAGTAGCAGTGGACATATATTGCAAAGAAGTAAATTAAGGTTCACAATAAGCACAGAGTGCGATGGGTTGCTTCAGAAGATAAGGGGTTTCCCCTCATAGAGGTCTTTAGGAAAAGCAGGACACCCATTTATCAGGTATGTTGTATAAAGAATCCCTTTTCAGGTACAGGTTGGACAAGATGACTTCTAAGGCGCCTTCTAACTTTGAAATTCTGTAATTCTGCAATTAGATATATCTAACCAGATTTGTTTTTGAAGCACCATCCTCCCTGTTACTGGAAGTATTCAAGTAGACCCTGGATTAATATTTATTAAGTATATTGTAGAATATAATCCTATGTTAAGGAGGAGGTTAAACTTAAATGACTAGTAAGGTTAAATATTTTATGATTTAAAGTCAAAATGAACTAAGTAAATCCAAGGGTCTTCTGACCCATACCATAGTTTTGTTGGGGGCTCCACATTTTAGGAAGGACATTTGAGAAGCTGGAGCATGTTCAAAAGAGAGTGACCAAGGTCATAAGGGAATTCAAAACCATGATGTATGAAAATTACTTGAGAGAGCTGTAGGTATTTTTTTTCATAAGAACAGATTTAGAAGGCATATAATAAGTTTTAAACAACTGAAAAGCTGCCAGCTAAAGGATGTTTACTTCTGTTCTGCTTGATCTTGATCACCAAAACTAAGAGGAATAAGTAGAAATTATAAGGAAGTATTTTCAGATGAATATAAGAAAGAAATTGCAAATAATTAGATTGTTTTGAGAAGAGAATCTACTTTCTCAAGTGGTAATGAGTTCCCTGCCACCCAAAACCTTTGAGTCAAAGCTGAATGATCACTTGTTGGGAAAATTTACTGAAGGGGTTTTTGTACTTCAGGTAACAGTGAGAGCAGCTGACCTCTTAGGCCCCTTCCAACTGTAAAATTTTATAGAGTTAGGTGAACCATTTCTGCCATACGGTCATTAAAGATAGGAAAATATTCACAATAATGTATATGTCTCTATATACATATACACATACACACATACATTTTTAACCATTCCAAAGCTTATATATGTATTGCTACCTTATACCTATGATTTTTATCTCAGGGAAAGTCAAACAAAGTGATTTACTTGTACCACAATTTATTTAGATAGTTCAAATACTTTTTCAAAATAGTAAGTAATGAATTGTACTTATTTTTCCCTATAGCCACAAAACAAAACATTACATATTTTTAGAAGCTGAGCATTTATTTTTGAAAATATATTTATATTAAAGACATTTTTCATTCCATGTAAGAAAGGTCAAACATTGCAAATTATCCACAACACCGTAAACAGGGGAATCATGATTTAAATGCTTTCACAGTAGGTACCCAGAAGGCCCCAGCCTTTGGTTGAATGAAAATTTTCATTGTCTCCATTATTTCTAGTGAATTTGCTAAGGAAGGCAAAGTTTTCTAGTTTTGCTTATTAGAAATAAGGTAAAATTTGCAATTTATAAAAAGAGTGATATAGTACTATTATTTCACATAAAAACTCATATGGCAATAATGTTGTTGATCATTTTAAAGTGGAGAAATGGATTCACTTTCTTATTCTATGATTTAGAATATATCAATATTTAAAATAAATTTTCTTTGTAAAGCTTGGGACAGAGAATTAATGTGCTAAATATAACCTTACACAAAGCAGAATACTTACAATCTTGCTGTTTATAACGATGAGAGATCAAGGCACCTTTTGTTTTATCAACATTTAAACTTAAGTATTCTACTGAGCCATGGCCGAATTTATGTACTCTAAATACACCAGTTTTAGGTCCTGCTCCATATATGTAATCTTCAAAAATATCAATCCTATGTGGATGTAAAAGTCCTAGCACAACAAAGAAAAAAAAAGGTAATGTGGCATTTTAAAGTTGTATTAATCAATATTGCTGTATTGGTGAGTAAAACATTTTTTAAAATGCGTAAACACCTTATTACTGGTCTTTTAAATCAGGTAATGCTTGCAATATTAACCTCAGATTTGATGGGATTAATTTTTCCCTCTTACCTTCTAATGCCATTTCTAGTTTTAAGTTTAATCTACTATATCCACTGTAGGACACACAAACTAGCAAACAGCTTTTCAAAGAAACAGTTTGTGAAACTAAACATTTAAAAAAATAGAAGACTTTGAGAGAACATGAGCATTATTACCTTTGTTATCGTCATCATGAACTACTTCTTAAAGAACTATTATATCTACATAATAATTTTCTAGTTATTATGGGTTCAGAAAGTAAGGAGAATTTTGATGTTCCTCCAAAGGTTAAAAAAATAGTGGGTTGAAAAATTAAGAACTTGGTGTTTTAGATTGTCTTAATGACCTTTGATTAATGACTTTAACTTAATGATTTTAATTTCATGGCTGATTTAAACTATAGTCAGTTTTTTAAAAAAAAAGAGATTTTGAGTTAGGTCCTGTTCCTATTCTTCAGGAGATTTTAATCTAAATGATATAGGCAAGAAAAATTATAACTGCTACATATTCATATATATATATATATATACATATATATATATATATTTACACAGATAAATGCATATATACATATGCATGTTTGTATGTATGCCATACTGGTATGAACACAGACCAAGTCCAGTGTCAGATACACTATGTAACTTGTTTGGGGTAGGATTATCAGCTGGACTTACATTGCATTCAAGTCAAATTTTGAGGGGAAAAAAATCAATATGGTATATGTGTTACCTTTGTGTTTTGTCTTCAGTTAATGTTTTACTTTGCTCAATGACCCTGAGTAGGGGAAAAAATCATTATCTCTGTAACAAACCATACACAAGGATATATATATATATATGACAACAGAAATCTATGTGTGCACACTAAAGCTTAATAGATAGCATTGATTGTCCCACATCACATTTTTTGTCTTAGAAAATATGTCTGAAAAAAAGCAATTTAATTCATCTAATATTTATCTGGTTTTTATTTTTATAACTACTAACCAGATAGCAATCTTGATCTTTTCCAAAATTTTCTGTAATTTTAAAGGCATCATTTAATTATATTTTTTATCTTTTAAAAAAATAGCTAAAACGAAAGCTTACAATAGTGTTACTCTGTTACAAAGATGAAATTTTTTTCTCCCTTTCAGTCAAAGAAAATATTAAATAAGAATAAAATTTGAGGAAAAAATTAATTTTTCTTCATAAAATATATTTATTATTCAAATCAGCCTTTTAAAATTATCAAGTGGTTCATGTTAAAAATTTATTTTTAAAAGTTCACAACAAATATTAGAATACATCCTTCAGTTTCATATTACAAAGTTAAAGAGCAGGGGAAAGTTAGAGACCCAAGGATATAGATGAAGAGAAAGAAGGGTGAGGGAAGAGAGGAAGAGGAAGGGAAAGGAAGAGGTGAGGTGGCTGGTGAAGGCAAAGGAGAGGAGAAAGGTGCTAAGGAAGGAGAGAGAAGGTGGAAGGGAGAAAAAACAGAAGGAAGGGGAATGGGGTATGGGGAAGTTGAAGGAGGAGCAAGAAGAGAGAGAATGAAGGAAGAGACCTAATAATGACCAACACTAGGCTTTGAAAATAACAATTGGCTAATTTACCACTCTTCTCTATTCTTAAACGATTGACTGAAACCTTAAGAGGCTCTATTCCGAAAAGAAAAAAGCCACAGAAAGTCATCATTTAAATGTTTTCTGTAATTTAGCATTGTCTAACAGAAGAGTATCACTAAATATAGTCAGTGTAAAAACTGGCTTCATCCTCTTTTGTTTGTGTATTGTCTAGGGCAGGAAAAATATAATTTTATTAAACTTTAGTTTCATAGAGTTAGAGTTAGAAGGTGATTTACAGGTCATCTAGTCTACTTTCTCAATTTATAGGTGAACAAATTAAAGCCCAGAAATTTGTATAGCAATTTGTGCAAGGTTCCAGCAATCCAGAATTCAAACTCAGCTCCTGCGACTCCAAAGCTAACGTCTTTCCTCGGACCCAGGCTGTGAGACTGAGGGTGTACATGTTGCTTTTGAAGAAGTCCAGAATTTAGGTCCATACAAGTTCTTATGAACTAGATTCTGTCTAATTTGGTTTCAAAACACAAATAATGGAAACATTCTACAAACCTTGTTTGCTGCTCACAGAAACTACTGAATCGGAGCCATCAAAAAGAACGCTGCCAATGACAGATAGCTCAAAGTCAGCCCAATATATGCGTTGACTGAACTGATCAACAGCCAGCCCTGCGAAATAAACATATGAGAAGAAATGAAGAAATATATCTGAAATAATTTTAGAAATTAGTGTTCTTTCCCACCCGGCCTCCCAAACATCCATTTCTAACTATGAATGACATTATTCCCTCAGGCATCAAAGAATTAGATTTTTCCATCTGTCTCCTCGTACAGTGGAATTTAGAAAGTCCTGATTCATTCAATATTTCACACATAGGCACGCATTTTAAATATTTATTCCTTTGCCTGACTAGCAATAGCCAACAACCAGTGCAAGAGTGAGAAAAAGGTCATCCCTAGAATATCAATTTTCCTTCACATCTACTTATTACTTATGACTTCATTGTTACCATCTTGGTGAGGATAAAGGAACTATAATGTTTCTATCTTATCTGTAAAATAAATATCAGAACCTATTATATAACATATTACAGAAATATAGGAAAGATTTATAATTTTGTCAGTGAGGGGAGCTCTTGATAAGAGAATTTCCTGAGGTATATAGTGGTTAAGTGAATTGCCTTGATTCACACTACGAAGAAGCATCACAGGTAGGATACGAACCCTGGCTTTTCTGGCTCTCTCTCTCTCTATTACTCATGATAGAAAATAATAGCTTTTGAATTGGGTTCCTTTTGGACCTCCTTAATCAGCACTGAATTGCCCCAAATCACACTGAAAAGCTCTAGTGTCATCCACAAAGTACAGATCTCCAAGAGTAGTTTTATAGTGGGACTCAAGTATATGTTTTGTGGTTCAATATTGAAGAGTGTCCATATCAAGGACAAGATGAATAGCCAAGTAATTAATGGAGGTCCTTGTTACACTGCAATCATCAACTTGTTGAAATTAGCTTTTAAAATGCAACTGCTCAGAAACTTCTAGTGGCTCTCAATGGTGGTAGCCCAATGTATGTAAACTTCTCTGTTTGACATTTAAATCCTTTACAGCCTGGCTCAAGCCCGCCTTGTGAGGTTGATCCCTTTTTGTTATTTCTCCCACACAACATTCCACATCCTCTACTTCTATGCCTTGGCAGAGGCCACTCCTCAGGCCTGGAATGCAGTCCCCTCTCAGCTTCATCTCTCAGACTCTCTAGTCTCAGTCAAAGGTGAGTGTGAGCATCACCTCCTGTGTAAGGACTTTATGGTCCGCAGTTGTCTGCAACCCTGTGAAATTAATTTGTATTTGTTTCATATGCATTATTTATTTATTTATTTATATGTGTAGTTCTTATTTCCTCTGAAAGACTGTCAGCTTCTTGAGGGTAGGGACTGTTTCCTTTTTTTGTTTTTGAATTTCTAGCATTTAACACAGCACCTGGCACATAAAAGATGCTCAATATAAACGCTTACTGATTGATTTTATTTGAAATAGGCATCGTATTTGCTTTATAGTTATTAATGTTAGTGATTGATACCTTGATGGAACTGTTAAAAGAATATGTGAACTTCACATTTCTGAATTTTATAAGGACCTAATCTCAAATATCTCCACAAAATGTCAAACATAGTTGAAAAATAGAATTGCCTTTAAGCTACTGATTACCTACCCAGCCTTTACAATAGATGTGACAATAATTTCCCAAGTCATTTTTCCATTCATTCTTTCCTTCCATAGATATTATTAGCCTTTAGCTATGATATACAACTACTTTGAATATATTAGGCAGTTAGGGCCACCAAACATGGCAACGAACCAACAGAATCATTAGCTGTACAGTCACAATTTGTCTACCTAACAAGGGACTGTGCTAAGAGATATTCCTTAGTTTCTGGTAATTGTGTCTCCATGTACAATTGTGTCTCTCACAAGAGAACATAAGCCTCTTGAGAGCAGGGCTTTATTTTACCTTTGTCTTTGGATCCTTAGCATCTACCATAGTATCTGGAACATAGTTGGTTCTTATTAAATGCTTTTTGATTAGTTATCTGGAAGGACCCTGACTCTTCAACTGCACTGAAAATTATAGTAGAAAAATTTGTAATTGAATCCTCTTCTCAGTATGTAGAAAGAATTAAAAATAGCCAATCTAAATCACTGCTTTTTCCAAGAACCTAGTATGACATTCAGATATACTGCCTAACTAGCCTCATAACAATAATTTGGTAGATAAACCAACTGGCTCATGTTTTCTTGGTAATTGTTTAGTGATTAATTGCTACTTGGAGACATATTCAAAGTGCCTTGAAGCTAAAACATGTGAATCAGGAAATGACACATTTCCTATGATTTTTATTATATTTTAGATCAGTTGTATAAGAATAGTTGAAAGTATTTTTCTTTTTAATAATAACTATTGTGGTCAGTCGACACATCAAAAAACTATCTGAAAAAAGACTTTTTTTTTCCTTTAGAAAAAATAAAATTTCTGGTCAAGGAAGAGGTAGGGAATCTGTTTTCTATATAGTTTAAATGGATGTATCATTTTATCAGCTTCAACAACAACAACAAAGCTCTTAAGTGGCATATGTTATAATTTGATCAAAGTGGTCAAGAAATAGTCATCCACATCAACTTAGGTTATATACTGTATAAGTAGATGGAACTACATCCAGTTTTTTTTAAAGCTTCTGTAACAAAGCTTTTAGATGGATGGCATTTATATTCCAAGAAAGCCACAAATCGATGACTTTGGTTTTTCCTTAAGCTTTTTAATAAAAAAGATAGTCTTTTAAATTAAAAAGTTAATAAAGGAACCCACTAGGTTTTCCTGTTAGAGAGATGGTAGTTAAGTTTGTATGAAAAGGAAACATCACTATTATGAACCTTTTATCTTTAAAATGATGTATCACATTTCCTTTTGTCTTTAATAAAAGTCCAATAATAGTAGCAAAAAAAAAAGTGTTCAATACTCCCGAGTACTCATTCTTATCAGGCCTTGGAATGATGAACATTTGCAACCAATTCAAGAAGAAGATAGAAGATTTAAAATTACGTTCATTACTTGTTCTAGTCGAGCACAATGAAATAACCCTTTGGAAGAAATATAGAAGCTGTAGCTCATTCAATTTTACTATTTCATAATACTGATAATAATTATATGAGTATTTTTAAAAATCTCCTAAGCCACCATCATTAGTTTACTTCAGTCACTTCTGAATCACTTTTTGCAGATTCTGCAATTTTCCATGACACTTATTTTATTTTCCTTCTCCCCTTTCAATTTATATTCCATCTCCCAAACTTGCCAAAAAAAAATCCCCAAAACAAATGTAATTAATAAAACAAAATTTTCTGAGAAATCATTATAAGATTCAAGGGAGTATCCTTAGAGGATAGTAGAATTGCAGAAAGATGACTTAGATTCAATGTCAAGGGAGGATGTAGTATGGTGGGAAGAGCAGTGGACTTGATACAAGACAACATGGTTGCCTAATGCTACCATGTACTAGCTCTTTGCTACTGGACGTAACATTTCACCTTTCTGGGCCCCAGTTTCCCTATCTGTAATTTGAGGCTGTTGGACCAAATGATCTCCAAGTTTCCTTCCAACTTAAATAAATGTGATTATGTTAAAAAAAATGGTCAATATAGTCCAGAAAGCTATACCAATCTATTCATAAATTATGAGACAGGAACCTAGAAGAAATCTGAAAAAGGGAACATGCTTTCCTATAATATTCCCACCCTCATGGTTATTATTGCTTGTGTTTTTAAGAAGTTTGAATATTTCAATCTTTTTTTTTTTTGGTGGGGGGAGATGTGAGGGATAGTTCATCAATTCACAAGAGCCTTTCCCCCAAATGTTTTATAAGCCTCTCCTACAGTGCCTAATATGTTAATTGAATGAATTCATGAATAAATTAACAAAATATTCTTTAAAGTTTAATCTATGCTAGTCCATCAATGACCTTTTGCTTACCAAGAACAAAAGGGTTGAAGGAAAGCAATCAAGCCTCAGAACTGGATTGTTGCCAGATTCATTCTGCATTCATTCAGAAATTGCCACAACAAATTACATGGGTCAGAGAAGGAAACATAAACAACCTACTGGCTATCGAGGGAGGTGGTATTTGGGGATTTGGTTCGTATTATGCTATTCAGTAAATAAACATTTATAAGTATATTAACATCACTGTGCTAGGTATTAGGAGAGGTAAAAAGGTGAAATAAGACAGAAGCCTAACCTGCATAGGAGGCAAAATAAAAAGATAATTGTAAATCAAAGCATTACATGGCAAATGCATTAAAGAGAGTTTTGGGGAGGTCTGTGGGGGAAAGTTGTTACTGATGAGGGTGGAGAGGTGGAACATGGGAAGAATTTTGGAGGTAGAATTCCAGTTTTGTCTTCAAGGGTAGGTAGTAACTCAATTACTAATAAGGGACAAGTCAAGTTAACAAGCACGTAAGTGCCTATGTGTCAGGTACATTGTTCTAAAGTGTGAGGATACAATGAAAATCAAAAATAATCCCTGCTCTGAAGGAGCTCATAATCTAGTGTGGATGACAACATGCTAACAAATAACGTAAAAACAAGATATAAGCAGGAGAAATTGGTGACTGTCTCAGAGGGAAGGCACTAGCATTAAGAGGACCAGGAAAGGCTTCTTCTAGATGGCAGCATTTTGGTTAAGACTTGAAGGCAAGGAATACTATTCCAAGTATAGTGGACAACATGAGCAGATTCAGGCAGAAAAATTCAGAGCATATTTGGAAGTAGAGAGTGGTCTTTTTCGGTTAGAGCAAAAGGTCCATGAAAGGGAGAAATTTAAAATAAGGATAGAAAAGTTGGGTGGCAACAGATTAGGAAAAACCCTGAATGACAAGCAAATGAATTTATATTTCATCCAGGAATAGCTTAAGATCAAGGGAGTAAGGTGTTTTAAGGTAAAAACCATTGATATTTTACAGCAGCAGACCACGGGAGCAACCTCTAAGTATGGAGGCAAGTGAAATTAGAGTAGAGAAAATGGACTAAGAAAATAGAGGCCAAGGGACAAAGAAAGGGCAGTGAGAAAGGTGGACAGAGGTTTAGTTGTGAGTGAGTGTAGAGACCTGCAAGGTCC